TATAAATTGTTTCTATTTTTTATTTTTATTTTTCTAAACAGGCAGCTGTTTCCAACTATAGAAACGTAACATAAGACATTTCGGTTTTTATAATAATACTATATAATTCAATACACATGATGATATTGAATATATATATATATATATATATATATATATATATATATATTTATCGACATCCGAACTTCAACGATGTTTACCCGTCACAAAATGTCATCGTGCGATAAATGTCTTTATTATAGAGTACCTATATAGGATATAGTTTAAGTGTATAACACCAGACAATTTATCGTAGTACACCAGTAAGTACCTATAAAGAAACCACGACTCACTTGAGTAGGTTGTCGAAGGCTCTAGGGTCGTCATCCGGTATGTGGATCGGGGTGCCTTTTTTCGACCAAGGTTCGCGAAGCATGGCGTCGAAGACCGGGTATTGACATAGCACATCTATGTGTGCGGGGAACCTCCAACACTCGGGGTCTCCTACCAAAAATATGACGTCACTGCCCGCTTCGCTGTTGTACAAGTTTTTCCACCTGAAATCATACAAAACAATAATACCATATAAATATGTATATTTATTATTATGATAAATGACACGTAGGTATACATTTTACGGAGAAAGCACGAATTGGAGAGCATACATTGCGCCCATGGAGGATCAATTTATTGTTATCGTTTAATTTTTTGTTAATTACTGAGATCCAAATAGTGAGATTTACTGCACATTGTCCGGACATAGTGCACCATGACCTAATCTCAGTGAGCAAACTGCAAAGTATATACATAGTATACACTACACGCAGACGATTGTTATAGAATGTATTTATTAGAACTATTCTGCATTAATTGTATGTGGTTGCAGTGTTAGGAATAGATAATAAAATAATATCTAGAAAAAGATAATAAATAAAAATGAAAAAGTATTTAGATAAAGATAATAGATAAATGTAATTTAACTAAATAAAAAATAGATAAGAATTGTTTTGTATTTTTTACACTATATATAAACTATACAGTTTCATAGCTAGAAATCTTCCAAGGATTTAATACCATATAATGATATAAATTATACTTGACCTTGCCTGTATGCTACATAGATCAAGGGGGTGGTTGGGTCCCTTAGCCACTCTAAATACGCCATTGGAACGATTAGTATAACGATTTATCAATATTTTTCTACACAATTATATCTAATCCTTTAAAAAGCAAAAACTGTGGTCTATAGTACACATATTACTTTCAACATTAATTTTAATTTTAATTTTACTTAAATGCAATAAAATATTTAGGTAGTTAGATACGTACTTAATAAATATTTCTTAGTAAAATAAAATAAAACGACATTAAATATAGGTACCTAAATGTTCTTAAACAACATGATGTAAAATTTTAAGTTATAGGTTTTAATTTATAGTAACACATTATGAATGCGTTGTTAAAGTAAAATATCTAAAATATTATCCAGTAATAATAATAATTTATTATATTATAAATGTTAGGTTACACGAACACAACAGAATGGCAGTTACTGGCCGCGTTGTAGTGTTTTGATAATACTTTCAATTACTGAATTACATTTTACTGTAAAAGCTTAATTTAATTTAAAATTTGATCTGCAATTAATATTAGGCAGTCATAACTCATTAAATAATTAAAATAATGCATTTTGTAATCTTTTTCTCATCAGCATTATTATAAGCATATATTCGTTGTTTTTTTTTTTTTTTCACTCGTATAGTTATATCAAAGCAAATATTTTATATTTATTTTAAAATCACCTGGTTGCTTGACGAAATTTTCAATTTTTAATAATTATGGTAACACTCAAATTGTAATTTAATTCGAAAATCGAACGTTTTTTGTGGATACCTATTTTTTCATTTTTATTACGTATTTTATGGATACTTGACTTTTAAGTGCATTAAATTTTAATGTTTATAAGATCTTAAGTGAAAAATCTATATCCCAAGTCATCATGTCACCAATTATTTACTTATATTGTTGTTGAAATTTTTATTTATTTTCACACCTGCATTTTTACAACTACTTTTTAGACTCTGAGTGGAGCGATGAATGTATTGATTTAACAATGTGTTGTGTGTGTTTGTGTGTGTGTGTGTGACATGTGTTCACGATCAATAGTAGACAAAATGCTTTTATTTTCAACTTCAATATCTTTTCTGATAATAAAGTAATTTTAGTGGGTACTTTTGGTAGATCAAAATTAAAAATCCAAGATATTTGTTTAAATAATGAAGAAAATAAAAAAAAATAAGGAGAAAACCAATTGTTATGGAAAAATATAGTCTTCAACAAAATACATTTAAGTATTTTGCTAGCTCGCCTATAAAAAAAAACAAAACCTTCAGTTCTTACTCAAATTCTATTATATCACTCGACTTTTATCCAATCAAATTCTAGGTAACTCATGCCGCAAAGGAACTGGTGTAGGAAACCACTCTTTCCCTAAAAACTTTCTCATGCATGTTGTCATTGTCAATGGGCGAGTTCCCCTTCAAGTTAATAAATCCCCCCCCCACCGTTAACTTATTGCATACTATTAAACTAGAGATTGCCTTAAAGGTAAATAATAAAAACATTTAAAAATATTTTGTTGCAATTCAAAAATGAATATTTATAAATATTAAACTTTTTCAACAAATGTTTACTTTAACATTTTTTTCATGACATCATGTAATTATAAAGTTTTTGAGTTATTTAAATACATTTAAAATATTCTGTAAATATTGGAAAAAATTGTTTTGATCGATCAATAAGCAAGGACATTTAACACAAACTTTCTCAGACATTTTGCACATTCTCCTACGTAATTTATCAGTATATTGGAACTAAAAAATTTACCAAACATACAAACTCAATTTTTTTAAACTTACATAAAGTTAAAATTTGAACAACATTATATATTTGAACGAAGAATAACAATGTTAGTAATATTTTTCAATTATAAATCAATTGATTTTTAAATTTGTCTGAGTACTACACGTAATGTAGATACACGAATTATGTTTAGAATTATTCAGTAAAACTATTTCTATCACCCACCATCCTTATTTCTGCCTTCAGGGTAATCTGTTTACATTTTTTTTAACTTTATATATACAATGATCTACATTACGATTACTTATTATATCATTTAAACAAAGTAAAAAAATATATTTGATAATACATATTTCCCATAATGTAAACAATGTCCAATTTCTTGTTTTGTTAAAACAAATACTATAGATTAGAACCGCACGAAATCACTCGTAAACTTTTAACTCGATGACCATCGTATATATCGTGGTAAATGTTATAATAGGTTCAAGGACCGTCGTGATGCCGGCATTTCAATAAAAACGTATTCGTCATCGTCATATTATGCAGGGTTATTAGGATTTTTCGAATTTATTTTTTAATAATAAAATATAGAAAAATATCGGAAGCAAATATTAATTAGATTATTAGTGCATACCCAAAAAATATTATATATCTATCGTACGACATTATAAAATATATGATTTATAATTTATTTAGATACATCGAATAGCGTTCATCAATCACGGTCGTCGAGGTCGTGCTCCATTGTCACAAATTAACAAATACCATTTTCTTTTTACAAGCGGGTGTTATTAATAAAACGATTAAAATATAATTTCATGATATTACATTATTATTATTATTAAATGCGATTTTGAAATGGTCTGCACAAGCATAGCATGAAACAATATTTCCCTGTACATTGACATTCAACACGTGTATTTGATATGTAAAAATCGTATTCTAGTGTAAGTATTTAAATGTGTAACAAATAACAATAGAATAACGATTAGATCTTATTCGAGTGGTTTTAGACCACAAAAATTATTTTCTACAATACAAAAAATTAAGAGAAAAAAAATTTAGTAGGTACAAGGATCAAGGGTTTAGTTAGGCATTGATTGAAAAATATAAAAATAGTTCAAGTGTAACATATTAGTTTTTTATAGAAAGTACTAAGTAAATGTTGTCGTTTTACATTTGAACATATTGTATTGACCAAATTTTTTTCCGTCCCTTTATAGGGAAACATTGATGATAGACTGTATGCTTATTATTGTTTTGTAAGACTCGAAAACCAGTCAGATCGCGGCAAAACGACCACATGTGTAAAAAATAAAATAAATAACACGCCAACAGAGTAGTTTTTACCAAATACAAAACGAACAGACAATTGGAGTTGGCGGAAGAATAGTTTATAATAATTTATATTACGCGTGATGGGTTTTTTCCTTAACATATTGCATCCATTAGAGGTATACGTATTCAATAAACACGTCTTATTAATGTACAGTTGTTATTATCACATCTAAAAGGAATAAAGGATACTGCATATCGTGAGTGCATTGAAATACACATAATATAATAATATAATATAAATAAATAAATTAAACACACGAAGTCTTCTACACAGCGGGATATTTTTTATTTCCCTAAGCAATTATTATAAATTAATTAGTTTGTAAAAAACACATTATATGTATATAATATTTATGTAATAAGCACTACTTTATCGAATGTAGCCTCCGATTAAATACAACACGACTTGAAATCATTGAAACGGTTGAAAGCAGTTGCGCACTGCTATAATATTATAGGTTTATACATGAACTGAATTAACTGCCGAATTCGTATTTTATGTTAATGGTACCCATGCACCTTAAAAAGTAATTTTAAAACTACTATTTGACTCTAATACATATTTACAGATTTATAAATATAAATAATATATGATATTACAACGCTCTTCAACAATACATACTGCTGTAGCCATATATGATGATTGAATAGCGCAAGCGCGTCGTAACACTCATAACAGTCATAACTAGTACCTGACCAACAGCTTTACGATAGCACTTCGGTGGTTATAGACGATTTTGTCGTTGTATGGGCAAGTGTTTCAATCGTTTGAAGATCTCCGCTTAGAAAATAGCCACTCATTGAGATCACGAATAGTTTTCATCACTTTGATATATGATGTCAACGATATATTATATAGTATATTATTGAATTGTATATTGTATATTATACATATTACTCACGTGTCACGTCTCACAATTTAGTCATATCTGACAGAAATAAGCTAATTCTAAATGAAATTAGGGACAGCTTCAAAGGTTCAATTATAGTTTTATGAAAATTAAGTACAATGTAAATATTCAAAATGATCATTAGGTATTGTAAATGTTTAAATCCAATAATAGACTCGTGTGTCGTATTTATATCATATATCTATAAAATACCTAATAATAGTCACATTTGACATAATATTAAATGCACAACAAATTCAATCGAGTTTTACGTCTCCGAAAATTTCCTAATTAAATATTAATACATTTCAACAATAAACCAAGTCTAATAAAGACAAGCAAATCGACATTTATGTAATATATGTATACTAGTATATGAGTATAATGTATAAACTATAATATAATATTGTGATGGTACTTGGTAAGTAATATATGTAGGTATATCAGACGAGAAAAAAAAGAATTCTTATGGGTTATATCGGATTTTTAAAACGATTTATCATGGAATATATCTATAAATATAGACATATAGTAAACCGTATATACGTAGGCAACACGCAGCTCCTGCAATAGATAGTATAGCAATAATATGTTATTGAAAATTGAACAAAACACCGGATTCCCATATTATAAATGTATAATAATGCAAAATACCGACAATAAGAATACAAATTATACGTCTCAATGCGGGGGTGAAAAAGAAATGTATATTACATTATATAAATGTCGATCCATTTATTGACAGACGAAAAAGAAGGCGGTTATACAATGTATGTGTAGGCATTTATGCATTTATATTTTGTGATATTATAATGTGTATAAAGCTGATGTACCTGCAGCGATATGATTTTTAGACCGCGACACCCACGTGTGAAAATAATAAATATGCTAAAATTTGCAAAATGGGGCGACATTCAACAGGGGTTACAATGTGTTATTATATAGGTCGTACACACAACACACGCATTGGCATCCGTCGTACACCACCACCCTTTGGTAGTACAATAATCTTTTATCTTTATTGTGGCAAAAAGTATAAGGTCGCATTCCTCTAACGTTATAATAATAATAACAACAGCATAATAATATAATGTCTCGCCGCGTCAATCCCGTATTTCTACACCCCTTTCCACCATCTTTACTTTTCATTTTTATTCGCAGGGTGCGAAATGCGTAGTGCTCGCGAACTCCGCACTTGACCGCCGTTTTTCGTACACAACATAACGGTACAATACGTCGTCAGTATTATGATACTATTATTATTATTATTATTATTATTATTATTATTATATATATACGTTTTCGCTGCAGGGTCTCACACAATGCATATATATATATGTTTATATATATAATACGGTATCATGGTGGTAACAATGTACGTATAGAAAACGAGACTCTTATTATTATTATTATTATTAATCTCCGTCGAAGGCCCGACTCGGGTTGCCCGAGAAGAGACTCTCAAAATGGCCAACATACTACATAATAATACTGCATAGTATATTATATAATTTACAGGGTGATTTTTTTTTTTTACAACGAACCATTGAACCATTTTTATTTTCATTACTTCAAATGTGTTCAAATGTAATTATATGTCATAAGTTATAGCTTCAATACATTTTTGACAAAAATTCTGAGACGTTATAGCAATCCCTTAGATGGCGCAAAATGATAGTGTAAAAGTAATGCGTCACATGTGAAAACTGCCATTTAGCAGTTTCACGGAGATGAGGAAAAGGTACACATATTTATTTTTATATAATTAATGGAAAATATTAACTGTAATATATATTGCAGTATAGGACTATAATGATGCCTGATAGTGGTCAAGTAAAATCACCCTGTATATTTATGTACAAGGATATAAATTATAATTTATTATATTATATATCTTACCTGCAGCCGTCTTTGGACGCATTTGGCGGGTACATGATTTTCTGCGACGACCCGCGGTTTTTTACCAACGATGACCCTCTGTCCTCTTTTATTGCAATAGGGGAAGATGATCTTCTGGTAGTACCACTGTAGAAAAAAAAGATTTATAAATGTCTTGACCTTGACAAATTTGTATTTTTCTGGCTATACACGATTTAGGTTTTAATTTTTTATAACGCAGTATTTTCTTTAAAGAATAGATAAAAGGTATTGTATTTTATGTATTGTAATATAATTCAGCTTAAAAATAAACCAGACTTTTACTACCTGCTCAATAGTAGGACTTCAAAATAATTGTGTTGGGATCGATTAAAATATATAATACTCACAATTTTGGTAAGTATAAAAATTTTAAGAACCTAAAGTATATCTATGAATTTGGCTCATTCTAGATATATTGAAATTTTAAATGGTTTAAACTTTAAAACGTAATTTCAATTTCTTTATTATATAGGTTTATAATTATAGGCACCAAGCGAATCATTTGTTCATTTTTTCAACATTGTTATAAATATAATATTTTATTGTAGATAATACAATTTTTTGTGGCGGATGTACACCTAGGACCTAGACTGATCAACTTTTGAAGATTTACTCAAACCAAAATACGATCAAGTCGTATAATCCAAAAGATTGCACCTTCATTTCAGTCGGATTTGTCCATAAAGCGAGGTACACTAAACCTGTACACATATACCCGTGAACTAAGCCTATACTTATAAACCAAAATACATCGAACGTCGTATTTTATTTTTTCTAGGGTGAAGTCTGTACATGGAGGGAGTATACAAAAATATACAATTCAAAATAATACTCGTATAATGAAGTCACTCTTATTTTTTAGTTGTAGTTTAAATTAAATCGTATAATCTTGTATACCTATATGGTTTAAAATTATATTTTGATTATTTAATAATAAAACTGTATTCTGAAAACCTGGGTTGAGATAATTTATCCGATTGAAATACAATTATAACATGTCTAGTGCCATTAAACTGATCTAAAGTGTAGCTGCAAGACTGCATCCGTTGATTAACAGACTATAACTGTGATAGGTAACTAATAAAATGTACATCTATAAAAAGGTAGATGAAGAATGAATGAATGAATGAATATAATAACATTAGTGATTATTTAATCTTCAATCACACATTCAATGAATTCGTTATTTGTGTGTATAATTTTTCTTTAGAACAAAAAATAAATTATCAGGAATAAAATGCACATGTTTTGTATTAATTTTATGATATAATTAGATAAATCATTCATTCAGCCATCGACTTTTTTTTCTACGTCAGTTGTACACCGTACACGAGATAGCGGGGAAGCGCAACGGACCACTTAATTACCTAAATGGCTATATACGTATAATAGGTACCTGCACGGTGCTGCTCATAATTCTGTGCATTGTACATATTATAATACTTATAGGAGCATATTATACATGAATTTGTCGGATATTATAATGATATAGTTTAAGGATTTAAGCATATTGTCACATAAACTATTATACGATGATTATCATGATTGCATTACTCTATAAACCCAAAACTATTATTTTACACAGGTTTTGGGAGTAATTAAAAATGATGTAATCCAGACAATTTGATTGGTGTGACATTATTATATTATCATAAAATAATTAGACAATTTCTATCATAATCCTGTATAATACAGTACTCATATAAACATTTTTTTTTTTTGTCATAATATTTTGATATTAACTTTTTAAGTATTTAAACAATTATAACGGAACATATTATTGTAAATTTTATAACACTCGCGAAAAAAAAATATAAATACATTAAAATGTCACCCCATCAAAATGTAAACGTTTTTGCTGTACTAAAGTCTTATAGTATAATAAATAGTTCTTAACATAATTACATTCACATACGTATACAAAATGTAGGGAAAAAATTGAAAAATAAAAATAATACTGTTATTCCACCGAAATAATTTCAAAAGAGAAGCGCTGCAGATGTTACCAGCGGTTCCATACCTCTGTTGTAGCAGCAGGTGAACAAAATCGTTGGCGGTCATCATCGCCCTCTGCTGTCCACGACGGGGTGCGCGAATCGCAGAATACTTCAGGAACATTTCGCATGAATCCCGCAAAAGCAAATAAACCGGGATGTTTCGTATTTAAAAATAGGTAATAGAATACTATTGCCGATTTTTGTCCTAGGCTGAAGGCGAATGAGCAAATTCGTTTTCATCCATAAAGCGATCGTAAATTAATAAATATTAAATTATGTAAGCGTAGTTTAATTCCGATGAACGACGTTAGGTCAGCTAATAGAATACGCAGTGATCTTTTTCGTTGAATTTCGACCTTTGTTTAATAAAACAAGTTCACCCTTTAGTACGTAAGTTATAATAATATAGGTACATTAAATAATAATAATAAATATAATGCAAGTGGTATATTAKCATGACGTGAACGTCGTGAACATTATCTTCGGAGTTTATTTTTTTTTTTTGCACGATCAATGTCCTCGCATTGTGCGTTTAGTTTTTACTTAAACAATAAATAGAAAACCAAGATAAAATTCACTGTCTCATTTAGTATTATATATTATAATAATTGATAATATAATGTATACAAGGGTGAACCGCCGTCAGGTTTTATCTTATTCTGTCACACAACAGTTATAAATTTATTATAATATAACACGGAAAAAATCAGTAGCCCACCCTGTATATATATATATAAATAATATTATACTTATTGAATAATGATAATTATAATAATTATCGGAAATTCACACCAAAACACACATAACGTTCGTTCTTTCCTGTGTGTCCATGAATACGTACATGATAAGGATACTACGTCGGGGGCAATGCACAGGAAACCTCGCCCTGCACGCACACACACACGCACACACACACATCCATGATCATGAATATACGCGTACGTACGATTTGTAATGGAAAATCGTTTCCCGGCAGTTGCTTCTGTTAGACATATATTTATAGGGACACAGCATTGTGTGCGCGCGCTGTACATAATATACAATATTATATAGTACCTATATATATGTATATAATATATACTATATAGAGCTGGAGGATCGAGTGTATACTTAATATAATATGTGTTCAATCGAACACATTGACGAGATTTCATATGGATCGCGATTCACACACGTTAGTATGAAATTCCAGCCTCCAAGTCCACGATCATAACAGTCTACTGCAGCTATTCACTCACACACACACACACACACACACATACACATACTCGGCTCTACCGTGTATATAAAATATTTGATTCGCTAATGAGTCTGGCTCGAGTAACTGCTACGTTTACAATATACAATATACAGATTAGGTATATACATATTATAAACAAAAAGTATAAGTAATACAGTACGTGTAAATAGGKTACACTCATGCTGCAGACGTATTTTGATGGAAAACACTGAAAACCTATATGTTGGTTTAATGTGTATTTAATATTTATATTATATAAATAATATTTAACAAACATCKAATAATGATAGAATTATACTGTACTTATTTAGATTATAGGTAGCTTTAGGTATTTATTTTTATTTTATCAAACGATAAAATACGTGATAAAGATTTAAAAATCTAAATTGTATTGAATAACAATCAGACAAAAACCAAACGACTCGCGCACGGTAGTAAAATATTAAATTATTAGATCTGTTTTTCTAAAACTACGTAAATTCGGATAAAAGGTATGGTTTATGGTATGTGTTTTTACTTTTTATTAGCCTGTAGGCTGTAAGTGAATATATTATCAAAATCATTTAAAATACAATAGTTGAACATATTTTTAATGTACCTATTGTATTATGTTGATATGTTATGTAGGATATAATTGTTTTTGAAACTATTTTTATTATGTTTTAACACAAACATAATATATTTATTTATAATTATATAATGAAATATTGATAAAACGATCAACTCGAATACAAAAATCGACTACCTGTTTTTAATTGCAAAATATTGGTTATTTTTTATCAACTTGTTATGTACATTACTTCCCATAATAATAAAATAAAACATGTATCAATAGTTACCACTTACTAGGTGAGGTTACTCACTAACAAATTCACAGTGTTTATTAAATATTGAATATTATTATAACTTTATAAGAAAACTAAAAGCTTTCAACAGCATAGTACGTTCAATAATGTATACTTGAAAATATATATTATTATATAATAATTACATTATAAATTCAATTGAATTAAAATAAAATTAAAATAATACTTTCTGAATAATGTGAGTATGCAAGTCTGATGGATAGTTCTGCAGCGTTATAGAATACAACTTTTGACGCTTAAGGACAACCGTCGCGCGTCGTAGTATATTTGTCCTTGCCGCTTTACTTAACCTTTATCCCTATGTAATCTGACATTGACCTTGCACCCTATCAGTTAATAATAATACATCAATTTGACTTTTTTTTACATATTATATTATATATAATATTTTACAACACTTTAATTTATAAATTTAATATTTATTATAATATTTAATTTAATTTTTACAGGAAATATAAAAATATTATACGTTCATTACACACACTCAACAATTCTTAAATTATTTGTATATGTAAATTTGTATTCAAAAGTTCTTCGAAAAAAAAAATTAATCGTTTAAATAATTATTATACAACTACCAATAATGGTGGTAAGCGAGGGGTCCAATTAAGTTGGTCTAAGTATTTGGCTATATAGTGTTTAAATGATTTTTCATTCTTATATCATAATCACGTAAAGCTTTTTTATACTTTAAGTAACTAGATAAATCATGTAGAAATTTGTTTTACAATGAAGTGTGCTTTTTGGAAAAAAAATCATTTTTCAGATACCTAATGTAAAAGAAGTAGTTAACGAATTTACGTAATACACCGATTTATACCATTCAAGTTTTAAAATATAAAACAAAAATAAAATACAGATGGTAACTACTGTATTATAAACAGTAAAGTAAATTGGGAATTTATTGAATATTCAGAAATCGAGAAAAACTGCTATAATTTATAAATGATAATAACGGTGAAGTTAATAACTAATGAATTCAACTAAAACTAATCATTTTTTGGTTTACCATATAGAAAGTAATTTTATTCATAATTATTCAAAAAAGTATCAGTGCTTTTGATAAACGAGAACCTTTCTTGAAGTACTTATATTGTATATTCACTATGCACCCACCTGGAACATTCTACAGTCTTCAAAATTTTTTTAGAGTATTTTTTTATTGATTTACAATTATTGGGAAGATTAGTTTAGTTTGAGTGTTAAATATATTGACAAACGTTGAGAACTCATGTGTAATATTACTTTACATTTTTAAATAGTATCATGACATTGGTTTAAGAAATTATTCGTTAATTATATTCGTAAAATCATCGATTGTTGCAGGGGTCATATAATAACGCGTACCTACAGCTAAGTTACCTTTAAGGCTATAAATACTAAATAGGTAGTATATTTATAATTCTTATAGCTTAGACTGCGCTCACAATAATAAACATAATATCAATAACCAATAACCATTGATCGTTTGTTTAAAATAAAAGTGAAGCTAAATAAATCTTGTCTACGGTACGTTTAAAATTTGTTCACATGAATTATTACGGCGACTCGTAGCAGATACATTTATGCAGATTGTATTATACATACTATTATTTACTTGTCGAATATCATTATTATTCAACTGGCGGACACTATACAGGTACTTGTAAAATCGGTCGTTAAATAGGGCATATTGCGTATGGCCTATGTATAATTATTCTTGATTCGAACGGTGGTGACCGTTCTTCGTGTGTACCTACCCAATGAATTAATAAACGTAATATTATAAAGAAGTATTATAATAATATAATATATTACGTTATGCGCGGGCAGAAGCAAATACTACAAAATATATAGAAAAACAAAATCACTGTATGATAACTCGGGACAAAACTCCATAATTCACTCAATATTGTCATGTTGACAAGGGGGTGAGTTGTCCTGGGCGGAAAATATTAGCAAAAAATGTGTTAGAACTGTAAAGTGCATATCTCAAAAAAACAATATATACGCTGCGTCTGTAGAAGATTGCAAGTCTCGGAAGAGTAACTTAAGCACTGCTGTACAATGATGGCGTATAAACATATATATGAAACATATATATGCTATAAATAAAATATACGAATCTAGTGGAAAAAAATATCGGTCACCCGCCTCCGACGATGCGCTCGCGTATTGCATGGATATCGCACGCAAGCAACGTCGCGGTGAGCGAACGTGCCAAATTCTTTCGGCGGCTATTTCCGAACGCCAAGAGGACTTTGCGCGTATTATTTTTATCGGACACATCATTGCGGCCACCGCACTGATATACTTCGTATACGTATCCTAATATCATAATAAACATGTTGCTACTGAGTAGCGACGAGAATAAAATCCATTTAGACTTTTAGTGTTTAGACCTACGCAAGCTATTCTAAGGATTTAATCTCCATTGGCCATTACTTAAAGTCAATGTTGATAATTTATAGATGGACAATATAAGTGACTCATAAAAATGTTACTCTTCATAGTGCAGAGCCATTACCTCTATTGTAGAGGTAATATGTTTATAATTAACAAATATAATATACATAAACGATTTCGTCGAATAATATTCTAGCTAGTTGATCATGAAAGTGTTTACATCGAAAACAATATATAGCATATAAGCAAGTAATATAATTAGGTATTTAATCTAGCTGCAACAATTATGATATATTTCCAACTGCCCGATTCGGGATCTATATTGCCAATTGGAATAAGACCTATATATAAACGCAAAGATGATATCGCGTGGGATCCGACACTACTGCACGAACCGGAGTTATGTGAACATACATGTTATATAAATATATATACGCTTAAACGGACTTTGAAAAAAACTAAAACTATTATCCACAATGACTTCTCGTTATCGGCAGACTACTTTTTGTTTTTTATTCGTTCCGGCAATATGACAAAATAAACGGTTCACCTAAATTATAATGTGTTCGTATTTACATACGAAGTGGTTTTACCGGGAACTCGGACATATTATATACGTAGAGGTAAAAGCCAACCAATAACCGACCGACAGACCGTCCAACCTATCCACTCAACTAAACATAACGTAATATACTATAAAATATGGTCTACATACAGTTCGAGATGGCATGGCTATACCAGTGAAAACAAAAGGCGAGCGCGCGCGAGTATTCCAGCGGTAATTACAGTATTTTTCCCCGCCACCTACCGCTACTCACCACCAACCACCACAACCAACGGTCTTCTAATAAATGGTAACGAGAACGGCGACGAAGAACGTATAATAATAATGCACCTATGTACAAATAATATTATATTGTATATGCTGCAATCTTTGTTTATCATCATATTGTTTTTTACCTCGTTTTTTACCAATAGCAATGGATGTTTGAGTGGTAAATTTTTGACGAAAAATCTGATCGCTCATATCTGATCATATCATATTTAGATCCAGGGGTCGTTCGTATTCGAGTCTCAGGTGTATATAACCTTGTATATGATAAATAATATATATATATATATAGGTGCTACATAAGTATACCTACTACTATATATAGAGATAAAGATGAATATTAGTAAAATTGTAATGTATAAATTATACAAAATACTTAATACATAGTAAATACATAATATTCATAAAGACTGCATATGAGCTATACATATGCATGCCTTTTGCATAAAATCTTATTGTTCTAAGCTGTATCTATATGTTTCGTGTATACGTTATACTTATAATGTTATTATTTTGTATCCAAAGATTCTTAAAAAAAAGGAATGATAAGATTGAGAATTATTATAATATTTTTTAGATAAGATATAAAAAACTAAGTACTATGTATATTTGTTGATTGCATAGTTAAAGCCATTTAGGAGTAACTAGTAAGTATATCAGTTATCTCTGTATCACATTACACGATATGTCGATATACCAAGAATATACGATTATACAATTAATTTCAGTGGTAGCAGCTTATAATCCATGTGTTGCTTCAGCAACACATATAACATTTAGTTGGTGGGTGGCTGATTAATAATTATTTACTAAACAATGATAAAGGGTAACGTAATTTTAAAAAAATGTCGGACTTAAATAAATCATTGTACCTACTACTAATAAATAACTATTAATTGCCCAATAATCCAGTTTTTTTTTATACGTTTAGCTAAATACAGCCATTGTCTGTAGATAGGAAGGAGTCCTCATTCCTCAGAAATACTCTCAAAATTATTAAGATATTATTTTGAGGATAGTTGCCACTAATTGAACAAATTACTGCTGTTATTGCAGTAAGTATCTTCATATTAGAAAAAAGTATTAAAACATATAATATAAATGAGTATGTTAACTTAAATATTAGGGGTTTATATTTTTAATTAATAATTAAATAGGTATATCGTATATCTAATAGGTATCTAGTTACATACTTATTAAATAATTTCTCGAATGTTTATTTGGTTAAAGGCGTACAGAAGTTAAAAATTGTAATTTACTTATTAAATATTTTTAATTAATATTCTTTAAACTATTATTCCAAAAAGTTGTTTTTACCCACCTACATTAATTAATAAATAAGTTAAACTAATACCTAATAATTATCTGACTAACACTGCAATGGTAGCTATGATGTAAAAATACACCTACATGAAACTAATTTATTTGACAATCTTCAAATAGTTTTCTTTAAATTTAAATTGTATTTTCTTGGAGGAAAATAGAAGCATTTAATTTAAATGATAATATAACGTATTGATTAAAATTGTTCAAGATAATGAAAATTATATAAACTTAAAGAAAAATTCATGGTGAGAAAAGATATAGAATACATAATATTAATATTTACGCAACTATAATAAGAAACTATAACTATATATTTCACGAGATAATAACTTAGTTTCTTATAACTTTTTTTTTATTACAATATATAATTTGATCATCAGTCGATTTAAAATTTGATTACCTCTAACTTATTTGTCGTTTACTTGAGGTTAATACCGAATGATTGAGATAGCTTATACCTTGTAGTACAAGTATACGTAATATACAACGATTAATTTCGAGAATCCACTGAGGTAATAATTAAATATTAATTAATAATAATATTCTCGTGTACTGTTGGAATTGAAAAAAAATGAACTAAGCTTGTAACTCATGTCCTTAAAGTAGACATATTGATAACATTCATTATACATATATATATTAAGTATGGTAGGTGAAAAATGTTTCCGAATAATCAAATTAATGGCTTTTGCGGATCGTAAAACCATTGATCTTGCACAATTTTCAACTTTTAAACGCATAACAGTTGCACACTGTGCCAACTAAAACGAATATAATATTATAATTGATTTATAGACGTACCTATATTCGGCATGGGCACCTATACGTTATACCTGGTACCTAACTATATATAACGGAAATATGTGTATAATTACGTATAATATTATAGCTTGATAATAATTTATTGGTCCGTTGAACGGCGAATAATTTACTGTCTAAATGTTTTGTGCTTTTTAAACGGCGAGGAATGCGTAATATAATAATTTAAATACAGCATATAGTTCAATAGAACACATCACGTATAAATATATCATGTAATTCATAATTTATATATTATATATTATGTACAAGTATCTAACATACCATCTCATATTCTCATACATGAATGTTTAATAGACGGGCGACGACGCAAAATTTACTGGCGACGCAGGTACAAAATATTCGGACCATTGTAATATACCATAGTTCATTAGGCAGACGAGTATATACATATCTACCTAAATATTAGGTACGTACCTGCGACAGACGGAGGCAAAAAAAAGCATGACAAATCTATTTAAAAGGACGGGATTTTTTTATATGGATGAAAAAAAAAAAAGAAAAGAATAAAACCGACTCACCTAAGTCCCATGGCTGATGATTTCGTCTGCACGTACTAGAGATAAAATTATGTAGATATTGGAATATACAATTGTAGGCCTATAACTATAATATTAATATTGACTACAATAGTTATAAAAGCGTGCAATATTCGCGTGTATTCGAAATTTTTGACGAGATGGATTACAGCAATGAAATTGACGGGTCGATCTCGTCCATCGTTAGCAAAAAAAATCTAACGCGTTCGGAAAAAATTTTAATTTGCACTTTCAACGCACATGCAGGCCAACTAACGAAAAACAAAACAAATATTCACTTTGATTTTAATTTAACAATTGACGTTACACGATAACAATAATCATCCGCAGTTGTTATAATTTTTCCTCTTAATAAAATTTAATATAATATCGTGACATCGACGGGCGGACTTGGATTCGAACGAGCGCGCGTAAATATACACTTCGTCGGTGACCAACAGGGTCAGTGACGTCGACGATGTAATCGCCGTACGAAGCCGGCGAACACACTGATCGGAGCACGACGCGTGTCGTCGGGTAGACGACGACGACGATGCCTCCGCCGCCGCCACTTGCGATAAGGGTGCACGTCGCCGCCGCCAGAGAAACGCCTCCCCTCCACCGTCACCGGGTCCACTATGATTAACGGGTGGTAGTGCGGTGCGGAGAGGTACGGCGGCGGCGGCGGYGGAGCATTTGGGTTTTTGTATCGTCAAATATTATATAGCTGTATAATAGTTATAAGTGTATAACATGATATAATAACAATAATATATAGGTAACCGAAGCAACCACCGCCGCTGATGTCCGAGGGTCAACGTACAAAAAATGTACACACATACAATAACGTTTTTTACATTATTATTATTACCTTTCATGTTTACGCGTGTACGGACATACTAATATACCCACAACAGTGCAGTGCGAGTATATTATAATATATCRTTATTACTATATTATAATATGTGATTGTTAGCCGCGTGCGTTATTGGGACGCTATATTATACTTATTATAACACACCGAGTCGATATAATTACATATGTATTTTGTGTGAGTCTACAGGCGTACGGCATAGTATATATATATATATATATATATATACATAGCACGCGCGACAAGCCGTTATTATTATTGTAACAAGACGATTTTACGATATTATGAATTATTATAATTCATGAAATAATAATATCTATATCTATACTCGTGTACGTAATAACTAATAGGTATAATCATTGTGCTATATTTAAGGAAGTTTACAAGACGTGTACTATATTATATGTATATATGGGTAATGTTTCACTTGGAAAAGCGACAATCATAGGCGTGCGCACGGGGTATGCAGGGTAAGCCGCKGCATAGTCTGCGGCTTCATGTGGGGGCCCATGTTTACCATACCATCAAAGCATTTTTAATAATGTCTTCTATGGTGAGTATTAAAAAAAAAAAATTAAAAAAAATTTTTTTTTTAATTTTCACTGCATTAAAGCAGCTAAGTAGTAAGTAGTATATTTGCAAAAATTTAGATTATAGATTGAGTCCTATATGTGGTAAAATGAAATGTTTAACGGCTTATAATCGTTTTTTTAGAATTAATTCAAAAAATATTTTTAAAAAAATTTTGTGAGGGGCCCTATTTTTCTTGTTGCATAACCTGCGAATAAAGTCTGCGCACGCCTATGGCGACAATATTATTACTACAGTAGTGTAGTCTGATCTGACTCTGCGAGTAAATTACTAAATTATAATATTATATTAAAATATATAACATGAAATATTGTGGTCCACAATCTTGGACTAACTAGACAAGCTAATCGCGTGCTTAAAATATATAATATTAAGCACCCTTTTACGATTAATAAACAATAATATTATTATGAAAAATGATATCGCAAGAATACGATTGGTGGCACGAAACTGCTGCAAGACGTATGAGTAATTATTGAGGTAAATCACCCAGGGCTTGGAATCGAAATTGAAAATACTGTCAATTGAATCGGAATCTTTTGAAAATATTGGAACCGAAACTTTTCCATCTTAACCGGAAACAGTGATATTTGCAGTAACCGAACCAAAACAAAAATATACCATTTGCAATCGCTCATCCTTTTATTATTTTAATATCTATCGTGTATTGGCATGTGATAATATCACTAAAATATAGATTTGGACGACTTTTTGTTTGTGTTKTGGGTTATGAGTTTGTAATTGTCTATAGTATATCACTTGAGCAATAACGTTTAATTTCAGATAACAATTATCTGATCTCTTAACCAAATCACTATCAAYATATTATATATATATTTTWAATTTGATTTTATAWAGACTAAAAATTCAGTAGTTATACAAGAATAAAAGTGGTAACATAAAATTATATTTAAAAAGTAATAGGTAGGTGTATACTATATATAATGGCAATTAGTACAACTATTATTTTAAATATTAAGTTCGTTCTTATTAATAAATTTTGTAAAAAAAAATACCTTTAGATTTCGGTTTTAACCAGAACCGGTATACATTATCTTTAAAAACACAAAGTTAGAACCAAAACCGAAAAAAATAATGATTTCAAACCCTAAATGAATGAGTATAGGTAAGAACTTTCATATTTTTTTCCTTTGTAATGATAACGTAATATTCAAGGATGTATTGTCAAATTTACAATCAGCGAATCAATTTTATCGATTTACGTAATTTCATCTTCTATTTTTGAACGAATCATGGACATTTTTGAACTTTACTATTTTACACACATGTCATAATTATTTTTAACTTTTAATTTTGTTTAATCTTCAATTTAATATTTAACCTAACAACATAAAATTGATTCTGATGAATTCATATTTACCATGCTGACTTTTACGTTTATAAGACGGAGTTACGGAGACAACATAATATTACGTGGGAATCCTCTTAAAGGTTGTTTTCTAGTAATAATTTATAACATTGCATGACATACAGGGAACTATTTGTTTCGAACATTTTTCACTATACTAATTCATATTTTTCATTTCAAATTTTTATTATTGTTTACGGATATAGGTATACTATATTGTATACTTGTATATTTTTATCACATTTTATCAAAAAGTATAATATCACTACATCAGTGGTCGGATGGCAAGATAATAATTATATTTATGTAGTTATATTTATTCAATATTAGAAATAATAAATATATTTTTTTAATTAATTCAAATCACAAACAAAATGTACGAATTATGAATTTATAGTTAAATATATTTAAATCATTTATAATCTAGTAAAATATCAACAACAAAATTCATATATTTATAACTTGAAGTTTTAAAACAGCTTACAACATAAATTTATTGATTTTATGAAAAAATCAAATAAAAAAATCGATAGGAACTGAGTKCMTATCAAAGAAGATATGTTTTATATATCAACTATCAATTATTTCTCATACATCCCTTTGGAGATTTAAGACTATTATATGCGATGAACACAAAATACTTTTTATTATTTACTATTTGAATTATTAAACAATAAACGTATTTACAAAAAAACTATTCCCACAGATTATAAATGCAGCGTAGCCATAAAATAATAATAAATCTACAATAACGTCATAACCTCATAACAATTT